AATGAGAACTACATCAATTGTATTTTTAGAAAACAGTAAAATCTTGAAAATATGTGCATAATAATTAGCCGTATATTGTCGAACACTTAATTTTTTTTGGCCTAAAGTCCCTGCTTTACTTTATTGAGTTCTAAATTATATACAAATATTTTTAAATAGTAATATTTTTTATTTACCCATCGAACACAAGAAAATGTGATTCAGTGTACAATAATTATTTTGTCCCTTGAGTGTCTTAATTGAAATTGGGTAGTCATCACGATTTTTAATTAACTTCTTTATTAAATTTGGGAGTTTATAAGTTGTCTATATGATCTTTACCATCAATGAATTTTGATATCTAAGCATTGTTAAGTCATTAAATTATATAAATAGTTTTTTCAGGTAAAAAACGAGTTACAGCATTGAACCAATGGAAAATATGAATTGTGAGAGGGGAGAGTTTCAAAAAGGCAAATCCTCGCTATTCGGCTAGCCACGGATCTCTAAAGGCATGGAACCATTAGCTTTCCCGTGCATCAAAGAGTGTTCCTCAACCCTAGAGTGTGCCATCTAAATTTTGAATTAGAAAATATCATTTCTAAGACCGAGTATATATCATCTTACCAAATGCATAAAACACGATGATAACAAAGTTGTCTTCAATTTTAGAAAAGCGTATACTAAACATCAAATTAAAATTGATTCGTTTTTTTAAAACTCAATTAGTGGGGTCTACATACAACAATACACATTTGAAATTTCGCGTCCATTCATAACATTCTCATATTCATGAAAAGTCAGGTTTGAACCATGTTACGGAACCAAGACAACCTATCTTACTAATAATAAGAACAAACTTTTTCCTTAATAATCGGGTTAAAATCAACCCAAACTTGAGTGAGTTGGGCGGGTTATGATTTCACACACTAATTTTACTATTCTCTCTAGTCGATGCTTTATTTTATGGAAAATACATAAAACTTCTTTTCAGAACTTCTGGTTAATAAAAGAATTAGGCATCAAACAAGGAGATCCAACAGTACACTAATCATTTCACCAAAAATTTCAATCTAACATGTGCTCAGAGTTAGCAGCTCCAAAATTTGAAGATACTGGCCATAAAATTGAATGGTTCGAATCTAAATTAATTTTAAATTATACACCTAATTTTTCCCTGACCTGCACCTGGACTGTAGTTCAATTGGTCACAGGACCGCCCTATGGACTGGCCTGGATTTGAATTTAGCATCTAAATGAACTGGCCTGGATTTGAATCTTGATATCATTTTTCGAATCATTAAGAATCTTTTGTTTTTTCACTCAGTTTGTGTGCAACTCAATTATGCTTCTGTATTAGTTTCAATGAGGAAGCCGAAGCCACCTCCTGATCATGATCATCCTCAACCTCCCTCAAGAAACCGCGTCCAATCAAATCATAATACATTGTCAGCTGATCCCCACGTACGCCAGGCTCTCTATATAGCCATGGCACATGCTGGCATTGCCCTCACAATATTCATTCTTTATGCTGTTGGTAAATTGCTTCAAGATTATTTGAGGCCTCTCTTATGGGCTGTCCTTTGTTCGATACCATTGAGGGGAATTCAGCATGCTCTTGTTGCATTCTGGTCCGAACCTCTAAAACTAGGCCTTACAGAGACCATATTAGCCGTTCCCGTGGCTGTATTCAGGGTATCAGTTGGAACACTTGTGGAAATTAAGGATATGATATACAGAGTTGTACATAGGAGGCAGAAACAACATAACGCTTTAAGGCGCCATAGAAGTGGATTTTTTATATTGTTGAGATGGCTCGTGTCGTTTTGGGTGTTTGTGATAACATGTGAGCAGATTGGTGGTGTTGGATCAGTAGCTCTTCTTGCATTTGGATTCATGTTCACAGCTAATAGTGTAGACTCTACTATCAATGCTGTGACATCTCTTAGAAGTCAGAGCTTTCGGAGACTTCCTATCACTGCTTTCTTTACTCGAGGGATATTGAAAAAACTGAAAACCATTGTGGCTATCGGATTGATTGTTGGATTGATTCTTGGATCGTTAGCAGGTATGATTTTCTTCTCTTACAAAATTGGAGTTGAAGGGAAAGATGCAGTTTTCGCGTTGAAATCCCATGTAGAGGAGAGCAATTATGCTGAGAAAATCGGTATTAGGAAATGGATCGATGAACATGATGTCCCGGAGATGGTTGATAAGTACAGTAATCAGTTGTGCCAGACAGTGCTTGATCAGATAGATAGCTATGCTATGCAATATAATATGACTGAGTTCGTTTCGGGTATCAAGCAATTTGTAATAACCCCAGCGAATAACTCTTCTGAACGATCCACAGCTTTGGCATCCCGCTCTCCATATACTAAGAAGATCCTGAGCCTGAAAAGGAGAATTAAGGATCGTGAATGGGGGCAAATATATACAGAAGTTGATGCAATTTTTCGGGAACTGTTGATCACTAGAGTGGACTTAGTTGAAAAGGCAAAAGGATTTGCTCAACGTGTACTTGTTAGTAGCAAATCCGTTTTAGGTGGTAGTGTGAAGGTCATATTCTTGATTGGGAATTCGATAGTATCAGGAGCTGCAGGGCTTTTCAATTTCGTGTCTCAGACGATATTGTTCTTTTGGGTACTTTATTATCTTATCACAACAGAATCTGGTGGAGTAACAGAACAAGTGATATCTATGCTTCCCATTTCGCGTTCTGCAAGGACTCGTTGTATCGAGGTTCTTGATAAAGCTATTTTCGGAGTTCTTTTAGCAACTGCTGAGATTGCTTTCTTTCAAGGATGCTTAACTTGGCTCTTGTTCAGATTATCTTCGATACATTTTTTGTACATGTCAACTGTCCTTGCTTTCGTTAGTCCTTTGTTTCCTATATTCCCCTCATTGGTTTCGACTATCCCAGCAGCTTTACAGTTAGTTCTTGAAGGTGAATATATGTTGGCTATTAGCTTATCCGTTATTCATCTTGTGCTTATGGATTTCGGTGCATCTGAAATCCAAGAAGACTTCCCCGGTTATAGTGCATATCTGACCGGTCTCAGCATTATTGGTGGAGTGACATTGTTTCCTTCAGCAGTTGAGGTACTGTTACATTTCATCGCATTGCATTTCGTATATATTCAACTTGAATATACATTCACTTTGATATAGTATTACGCTTGATATGTGTCAATTCTTGATTGTGTATGTTATTCAGGGAGCGATAATGGGGCCATTAATAACAACAGTTCTCATTGCAATCAAAGATTTGTATGTTGAGTTCGTTTTGGAAGGACAAGAGGAATAAGTATAACAAATATATAAGTTGCTAATGCCTGGTGTGATCCTCAGAAGCCATAAGGAGAAGTGTTGCAACTTTGTTTGATAGGGGAAATGTTATATGCCTCAACGTCTTCGCCATTGAAGTTCTATTATGTCCCCTGTCTGCATCACATCAATGTTCAACCCGAAAAATGGCCCTGTCTGCATCATATTAATGTTCAACGCGAAAATGGCTCGAGATTTAATTCTTTCTGCAAAATATGATCTGTTAATTTGTGTACACAAATTGCTAACTTTGTGGCTAATGGCTAGTTAGATGCAAGTAGGTTATACACTTGTGTGTTATATTGTCTCTAAACATTAGTTTGATTTCATAAAGTGAGAGTTAATTTAACTGTCTTTTAACATTTCTGATGCAGCAAATAGTTAAAGTTTACATTCACAAATCATCAATTGAATTGTCGCGTCCTACAAAATTTTAAAACTATGTACAAGTTCTAAATGAAGAGGTGCGGAGCTAGCCCGAGGGTTTCATTCGTCGATATACCGTATAGATAGATCAAATTTTAAGGTTTATATATTAGTGTTGGCACGTCTTGATTTTATGGAATCCACATTCTAAATAGTGTGACTTTTGATCTGTCTATTTTACCAACCGTACGGCTCTCCAACTATAGTTTTATTTATTTATTTATTTATTTTTGGTAGCAAAACTAAGAAAACTTGAAACCTAAGTATTTTAATTTTTTCGAGTAGAAGCAAATTGCTCTTTCATGGTATGCCCAAAAGCAACGCATATCAACATCGTTCGATTAATTTTGTATCATTTTTAGTAGTTTGAGAGTATTTTAGAATATCTTTTTTTCTTAAAAGAATTAACTAACTTTTTTGCAAGCCAACATGTACGGTTTGTTCACTTTTATTTACCCTCACTTTTCTTCACTTTATTTGGAAACTAATATTTGACCAAAAAATAGTTAAATAAAATTTAAATTTGTATTTAAAACTTGAAAAACAACAAAAATTGTTTTCGTTTTCATTACATTTTTCCTTTTCCAAGTGTTATCTTTAAAAAAAAATATTTTATAAAATCACCCTTTCTTTTTCATTTTATCAAATATTATTTAAAAAAACATTAACCAAACACAACTCTATCTTAAAAAATTCTAAATATAATGAAGATCATTTGTAATAATGTGTGTAGCTCGTATACAAGATCTAATCTATCACATTATGTATGATATATAGATTGTATTTTCCGATAAATTAGTCAAGTTGCATAAATTTGCTTATTTTTAAAAAATTGAGGATATAAATCATATTTAGAAAAAAGAATATATTCATATTCTAGATTTTCTTTGAACAATAATTAAATTCAACTCCAACTCCAATTTTTTTAAAAAATAAACAAAGTGAACAATATATAATTCTCATAATACACTGCTGCTAAATTAAATTATTTTCTAAATTTATTTTCAAAAAAATATTCCTTTTTTAAGTACTAGTAATAAACTAAAAAGAAAGCAGGTTCATGTAAAGTGAAACATTGGAGCAATCATTTGAGCTTATGGAAGTACCACTGATATGACAGTAGAACTGTTAAAAGCAATTGTTATTTATTTTTTGTTTTTTATTAGGTGTCTGAAATTCGTATTAAAATTTAAATTAAAAATTGAAATCACATATTACATAATTTATTTAGAGCTTATGTTTTTAATAAAAAAAATTCATAAATAAAATTTAAAATAAAAATATTTAATTAAGAATGAAATACTCTCACGAGTCACGACAATATTGACTAAAGCAAATTGTTGTTGCCTAACATGACAAAAGGATAATGTTGCTTTCACTGCTTGTTTGATTAGGTGGCCAACTGCCATATCCTCAATCTGTTAGTTACTGTACCTGCCAGAATTTACAAAATATATATTCTTTTAATTAAATTTATTTTATCTTATTTTAACTTATATAAAATTTAAGAAAATAAATTGATTTTTATGGTAAATTAAAAAATATATTAAAATATACTTAAATCTTATGGTCTATTAGAAAAATTAAAAGAAAGAGATATTTCTTTTGAAGTAGACTGAAAAGGTAATTAAAATAAACAAATTGAAAAGAAATAAGTATAATACTTTCTCAGTTTCAAATTTTCGATATACTTTTCCTTTTTAATTGATTCTAAAAAAAATAAACATTTCCTTATTTCATTTTAATAACACTATGAAATATTTTATCCACGTGATTCTTTTATTTTAAGAATAATTTTGAAATATTACAAAATTTCCCCATATTTCTTATATTTGATGTACAATCAAAATACATCACCTAGCATTTTTCTATCATAAAAATCAAATGGAACGTTAACATCATAAAAAATAAATATATATATATATAGGTAAATAATTAATCATTAATCGAATATTTATTTGGAGTGATGTCCATTTGAAGAACCACATTGAGTTGCTTGGATCCAAAATAAACAACAAAAATAATAAGAAGTTAGGCAAATGGTTATACTTACATTGTCACACTCTTTAAAGTTTCACTTGAAATCAAAGCAATAGCTCACCCTCACCCACCACTCACCACCATCTCAACCCATCCCTCCAATTTCTCCATTAATTCGTCACTAATAATCAAATTTGTTGTAATATCTAAGTAATTTTCCAAGTTATTCAAGAGTATAGTAATCACTTGTTAGTTGTCAGTAGTGACGGAATCAATATTTTCATCAAGAGGGTTCAAACTATGAAAGAAGCTAAATAAACACACGAATTAATCAAAAAGGATTCAACATCTACTATATATATATATATAACGTACTGCAAACTTTGCAAGCATGGGAACCTTGTGCACAAACTTCTTCAGTGATCACTGGCTCATGATCATTGCACACATATAGTTAGTTATAACTGAATTAAACACAACTTCCATGCCTACAACTTGAAACTTCTTCGAAATTTCTCCGGTAAAGACACTCATTCCTTCTAGCTTCAACTTTTAGCTAAGTACTCTTGTTTCCGCGGTTATGTTGACCTGATTGTATAAAAAGTTATTAATTTCTCTTTCAATGAATACCCGTCGCTACTTTCTTACACCAATTTCACTTTGCCATTCGAGCATTGTTGTATCTTTTCCGTCAATTTCACCATCGTCAACAACAGCAGCAGCAGTAGCAGTAGGAGGAGGCGATTATGCAGTTGGAAATAGAAACAGGTATAGTCGTGCTTCTAATATTTCAGATTCTTCAGTCTTGATAAGAATGGCAATGAGAATATCAAGAGCAAAGTGGTTCATTTTCCTAAGAAGAGTTTTCCATTACCAAAATGGGTATTCAAGATCTGATCTTGGATCGAACCCGTTCAATTCAATAACATGGATGATGATGGAGTGTATATCATTAAGTATACAAATAATTCTAAGTGTATATACACTCTCTGTTTCAAAATACGAAAAACCAGTTTGGCCAATGAGGATATGGGCGTTTGGATACGTCTTTGGCTGTATACTTAGCGTCCTCCTGCTTTATTCACGCTATTGGGCATTCTACATCAGGCCACAAAGACATGATTCTGACATCGAGCAACAAAGAAGCAGCCACGATGATCAATCCAGGTGATCGATTTATTAATTATACTCAAATGTGTCAAATTAAAACTATCTGAACTACAAATTTGGATATACAGGAGGGCATCGTCATTGCACATGATGGAGAGATTCAAGACTAGTATGGAGTTATTCTTCGCGATATGGTTTGTGATGGGGAATGTTTGGGTGTTTGAATCGCGGTTATTAATGTCGTATCATCGCGCTCCTAAACTTCACTTGCTCTGCATTTCTCTGCTTACTTGGAATGCAGTTGCATATTCATTCCCATTCATATTGTTTCTATTGCTCTGTTGTTGTGTTCCAATGTTGAGTACATTTCTAGGCTACAATATGAATATGGCATCTGTGGATAGAGGAGCTTCTGATGAACAACTCTCAACTCTTCCAACCTGGAAATACAAATCAGAAATTGGAAACAAGGAAGAAGACCTCACAAATTCCGCTCCGCAAGATGAAAATTCTGTAAGTTATAGATAATCTGTCTTATTCATTCTGATAGTTAATCCTGTTTTATATTTTTTTCACATATAGTTATCTTTTACGTGACATAAAGTGTCCATATTGACAATGTACTCGGGTCAATTATACTTCAAGTAATTATCTAACAACTTATTTATGTTTTTACTCAATGGATAGAAGTAATTCAAACTTCTTTTAAAAAAGAAAAAACGGTCTGATATACCCTTTTTATGAAAGTGGCTCATATATACCTCTACTTGTAAAAAAAATGGCTCACATATACCCTTTTCCTCTAACGGAAATGAAAAAAATAATAATTTTAATCTAAATTTTTATTATTTTTTTCTAAAAAATATAATTCCATATGAGTAAATTTAATCCTCGCCAAACATATTTTTTTAATTTTTTTGTTTCAATGACTAATTTATAATTATTGATTTGATAATCAAATTTATTTATGTTTCACTAATATTCTTGTAAAACTTATTGTAGATGACCAAATTTTTTCTTCGAATACGAAATTAAATTACAATACACACATAAAAAAAGTTTAATTTTTTATTCTTTAAACTAAAGAATGAAAGAAAAAAACAAAATAAGAATAAGAAATTCAAATAATTATAATAAAAAAAAGTCAAAAAATAATTTATGTATGAAAAAATTAATATATACCTTGAACTTTGATAGAAGAATCATATATACCCCTAAATAATTTTAAAAAAAAATTAGAAGTAATAAATATAAAATTAAAACTGATTTTTTAACTTCCGTTAATGACGGGTATATGTAAGTCATTTTGTAACGGCAGGGGTATATGTGAGCCGTTTGTATAACGGTAAGGGCATATATTAGCCCCTTTTATAACGATGGGTATATCAGCTCCAAATGACAAAGTTGAGGAGTATATCAGACCCTTTTCCCTTTAAAAAATAATGCATAAGAGAGAAGGAAGGGAAAATAGAAAAGAGATTACAAAGCGGAAAAATGAACTCTCATCAAACAGATGAAACTTCATAGGACCAATTTACTAAAATACTACTCTTTTTCGTTCCATTTTATGTGACCGATTTTGACTCGACACGAAATTTAAAAAAAAAGGAAAACTTTTAAAATTTGTCCAAAATGAATGATAGAAATTTGTGTGGCTATAAATCATTTTACTAAGAATAAAATAGACACTTTATAATTAAATTGTTACTTAATATAAAAATATAAGTCGAATAAATTGGGACAAAGGAAATATTAAGATCTCTCCAATGTACTATATAAAAGTTAAACTCTAAGTCTAAAAATTTAATTTATATAAATTGACAATGTAAATAAAATTTTATACTATTATTGTAATATAAGCTATCGTAGTAGATAATTAATCTATCTTATTTCTTAGATTTCAAATTCCATTTTTAAGGACTATAATTTTGTAAAAGTTACTTTTACCCTATCAATAATTAGTATATAATAAAAGTGAAAGTAAATTAACAATTTTTTGTGTGATGTTTATGTAACAGGAATGTTGTATTTGTTTAGCCAAGTATGGAGATAAAGAAGATATTAGACAATTGCCTTGTTCTCATATATTTCATCTAAAGTGTGTGGATCAATGGCTCAAAATTATATCTTGTTGTCCTCTATGCAAACAACAACTAGAGAGGTAAAAGATGCAACAAAGCTCCTCATGAGCCTCATTGTATTTTTATCCTTTTTTTATGGAGATGAAATTTTCATATATACCCAATATGTACTACATTATACACTTGAAAAAACAGAAAATGTAATTACGATTAACTAGAAATATGTGCATTATTGAGAGCTTTAATTTTTAACATAAGAAATACAAAAACAACCACTCAAACTTCCACTCGGAATTTTGTATATACGGCCTAGAATGCATAAAAAATTAACCTCTATCCATCTTTCGACCCTCAAATATTTCTAACGTCAATCTTTTGGCTCATAAAATAAAGGTAATAATTATAAGCCAAAAAAGTAATATCAGTGATATTTTTAAGCCAAAAAATTAACATAAAAGATATTTGGAGATCGAAAGATAGATGAAGGATAGTTTGAGAGCCACCTCTTGCTTGAAAAATTTAAGACATGCCTTAGACCCCAAAATTGGGCCTCAAATATATTTAGAAAGAACAATAAAATAAAATTATATTATTTTATTGGGGAACTTTCACATATAGATACTTAAAAATAGTCTAATCAATCGCATAGCTATAGTTTGATGATTACAATTCGTAGCTACATGTTATATGGAGAAGAGAGGCGGGTGAGACTGGGAGAGAGAGGGGAAAAAGTGGAAGAAAGGTGAATTGCATATATATAATTCACCTCTCTCTACGTACATGTTATGTATATCCAATTCACTTTTCTTCCACTTTTTCCCCCTCTCCCTCCCAATCGCGCTCGCCTCTCTCCTCCATATATCATGTAGCTACGAATTATATATTCTACATATGTATTCGTATATATGAAAAGCGAGATTGGGAGAGGTAGGAGAGAGGCGAGCGAGATTGGGAGAGGGAGGAGAAAGACGAGTGAGAGAGGGAAGAGAGGTGAATTATATATGTATATAATTGTATATTCTACATATGTATTTTTATATATGACAAGAGAGATTGGGAGAGGAAGGAGAGAAGCGAGCGAGATTGAGAGAGGAAGGAGAGAGACGAGCAAGAGAGGGCAGAGAGTGGGAGAGAGGTGAATTATATATGTATATAAGTGTATATTATACATATGCATTTGTATATATGACAAAAGAGATTGGGAGATGAAGGAGCGAGGCGAGCGAGATTGGGAGAGAGGTAAATTGTATATGTATAGGTTAAATAATTGTATATTATGAAAAATTATACATATACAAATGTGACTAATTATATAAATTCGAAGTCGTCCCACGTAATTAATGTATAACGTTAGTTGTGAATAGTAACAGTAGCAAACTACAGCTATGATGAGAGTTTGCTTAATCACAAAATTTCTCCTATTTTATTCTCCTTAATAAATCAAGAATATATTATTTTGCCTTCTTACATTCTCTTCGTTAACAACTTAACATGTTTATCTTATTTTAGCTTCTTTAAAGTTGCACTCCCTTTCTTCAATGTTTGATTAGTTAAGACTAATATTTCGTCAAAAATATAAATTAATAATTGAAAAGTATTAAATAAAGTGTATTACAAATTATTTTTTTATTTTTTCTTAAATTTTCAAACATTACAAATTATTTTTTTATTTCTTCTTAAATTTTCAAACATTACAAATATATTAAAATATGATATACCAAGTTACCACTTTTTAAATCAGATTCTATAGTTTTAACTCTTATCTTTATTTAGTATTTATCAATTTATTTAATCTTGACGTAAAAGGTGTACATGTTCGATGAATAAGCAAGTTCAGAGGGGTAATTGAAACAAAATAAAATTTAGGTGGACACATAAAAAGCTTCAAGTTCAGGGGTAAAATACTTTTGCCTAATTAAAATAAAAAGGTGTTAGAAGAATTCATTTATATATAAAAAAAAAT